AAAAAAAAAAAAAAAAAAAAAGAAGGGAAGGGGAAAAAAGAGTACCAGGTGGGGTAGTCAGGGAAGGCTCCTCTAAGGAACTGGCATTTGAGCAAAGACCACAGGAATCGAGGGACTAAGCCAGCAGTCCCCAACCTTTTTGGCACCAGGGACTGGTTTCATGGAAAACAGTTTTTCCACGGACTGGGGATGGCGGTGGGCAGAGCTCAGGTGGTCATGTGCAACCCGTTTCTTAACAGGCCATGGACCGGTAATGGGCTGCAGCCCGGGGGTTGGGGACTGCAGGACTAAGGCATGTGGCTGCTGGGAAAAGGTCATAAGAGGGAGAGGGAATGGCAAGTTCAAAGATCCTGAGGCTTGGCTTCTTCAAGGACCAGCAAGGCCATTCTGGCTGAGTGAGGGGAAGAATGATGGAGATGAGGCCAGAGAAACAAGGCAGGTGGAGAGAAGTGGTCCCGTGCTGGAGATATTTTGGAGATAGTGTCAAAAAGATGTGTTTGTGGACTGGGCGTGGCATATGAGAGAGGGAGAGAGCAGTCAAGGATGGTTTGGGATTTTAGTTGGAAGAAGGGAGTTGCTACGCGCTGAGATGGGAAGCAGTAGATAGAGCAGATCTGGACGAAAACCTTAGAAGCTCAATATGGGATATGTTGGATGTGCCGATCAGTTATCAAGTGGATTCGTCAAGGGGATGGTTGGATATCCAAGTCCAGCAGTCAGAGGAGAAAGACTTTAGATGTAAATATGGGAATCATTGGTACATGAGTGTATTTAAAGACCTAAGATGTTGAGGTCACCAAAACAGTGAGTGTAAAAAAAGAAGCTGTCCGAGGACCGAGCCATGGGGCCCCCCAGTGGTTGAAGGTCAGGGAGATGTGTCAAACGGTGCTGACTAGCTGAGTAATAAAAAGACTGAGGCTTGATTATACTGATCAGCGGGTGTAGCAACTGAGTTCTTTGGTGACTTTTGTGAACCACTTTCGGGGTCCACCCTCAGCATCTCTTTCTAGGTTTCCTTCTCTCTGCTGTTGGAACAAGCTCTGATCTTTGGAATATTTTTCTCATTTATTCTGCATCCCTTTCCTCTCCCACACTGGCCTCCTGTCTTTATAAGTCCTGATTTAGACCAACTCAGTGGGAGACATTTGGACCCCAAACCTTGGTTTATAAGGCTTGGGTCCGACCAGGTTCCTATGAGCCAAGAACTGTGCCTTATTTCGGCCAGGGCCCCTGGCGCATATTCGAGGTGTTCTCTGGTTTGGGAGATCTGGATAGAGTAGCAGACAGCGGCTTTTCCTTTCCGATCTCCTTCCTGCCAGTCTACACCCAAATCTATGTAGCTCTACTTTTAAATTATGCGTGGTAGCTGGCGTGATCATTCACAGCTAATCTACCTTGGTCTTAAGTGTGATTTCTGTTATGCACAGCTCTGGCTTCCCCAGCCATGGATTTTGGCTGGGAGGGTTTATCCGTCAGCAAGCCGCAACATGTCTCCCTTTGCAGCCGTCAGTAGAGTGAACATAATGAGAAATGTTTCAGTGCTCTTTCAGTCCGTTGGTTACATGAAGGAGCAGGTCTCAGGGTCTCAGCCTGGTACAAATGTGTCTTTAACACCTTTCTGATACCTTTTCAGCAAAAGAGAGACAGGGCCCTTGCTAGGCAACAATATCCAGTTAGAATTTAATCACATTGTTTTGTTTTCTTTGTATACACCTTTTAGTTACTTTATATTTAAGGCAAGTGATGATAGCTTGTATAAGGGATAGAAAGAGAGTTCCCTTGTTTAACACACTTATTTAATTTTTTTAAAGTGAAACAAATGAAAATATCAAGCAAATAATTGTAGAGATGGTGTGCAAGACTTGAGAGAGAGGGCATGATGAAATGGCGTGAGGATAGAGTGAAAATTATGAAGGTGGTACCTAAATAATTGGAGCTTGGGCAGCATTTTAGAAATTGCAAGCAAGAAAGCACTTCTTCAATCATTGTCTTCTGGCCTCCACTACTACCTGTGGTGCTAGACTGTGCACCTCGAGATGGCTGAGAACGTGTCTCAGTGGGCTCACCAGTATATCCTGGGAGCTAGACGTGCTCAATAAAGATGAAATGAGGTGAACAGGTACATCATGAAGCTCTGTTCCCTTGCTTTGCAGGTGAGAAAACTGAGGCTTACAGGTGCTTGGCCCAGGAGCACAGTCATTTAGCAGCAGAAAGTGACTGTGGCTGGCCCCAGTCTCCAGTTCTGAGACCCAAACCCTTTTCACTCGCACGTGCTGCGCGTTAGGGCACGGACAGATTGTCAGCAGATGCTTTGCATGGAGCACATTTAACTCCCGATCTTAACAAGTGCTGGCAATTCTTCAGTCATTTACCCCTGTCCTTTAGGAGTATGTCTTAAACCCCAGGCAATGTTTTTATGCTTTTATGAGTCCCCTGAATTTTGCGTGCGTGCTGCCCAAGATAAAATCCTCCATCAGACCCCTCCTATTGGATATCCTCAATAGAATTTTATCACTTTTTTAATCAGTATTTTCTCACGAACAAATAAACATCTACGCAACAGGGACCAAAAAACTGATTATTGAAGAAAAAACTTCAGGGGTTTAATGAGATCTTATATATTGCCTTTTGAAATAGCAATAGTGGTAGCTGGCTAAGTATGTCTTCACCGACATTCCTGGAGGACAGCTAAGGCCAATTTCTAGACTCCAGGGTCAGGGGCGTCACTGCTTTAGGGTCACAGGGGGATTGGTGTTTCAACACTGGCTGGGGCAGCCATCTCTTTTCTGGGCGTCCTTGGGTGGAAGGAAGTGCCACGTGTTGCTCAAGGGCAGTAATGGGAACACCTGTGTCCTCTCAACAGATCGACCGTGGGCGCCCTGCTGGCATCCGAGGTAAGCTACGCTAATGCCTCGTCAGTGCACGTGCCACTGTGTTCTTGCCGCTTCTCGCCTTTTCTCTGGGCTGTAGTAATTTGGATAGACACCTCCACGTGGCCTTGAACCCACTGGAGCAATTTGGTTTTCCCCTTGGTGATTACAAATAGCGATGAATAAATAAAGGGACTGCAGCAGCCCAGCCACGGGGGACTGTGCAATAGCATGACAAGGCTCTCCACTGCTGGGGTCGTCCTTGGGGCTGATGCGGACAGAGGGAGGTGGGATTGTTTCCACACGTAGCCGTTAGTATCAGCAACCCCACAGTGGCTGTCACATGGGCCCAACGGCCTGCCACATACACGTATCCTTTCACTTTGTTCTGAAGCTGGGATGGAAATTCTATGACGCTGACGACTACCACCCTGAGGAGAATCGAATGAAGATGGAAAGAGGGATTCCACTGAACGACCAGGTACCGTTCACTGTCTGGGTCAACACACATATTCCACCTGGGTGACGCAGGGTGAGGTCTCTGCAGCCCTTGATGTAGTCGAGTTTCTGAGTCATGTGTCCGCCGTGTGCAGGTGCTCCACATATGTTAGCTCCGGCCTTGAGCCAGTCTCTGAACCCGGAGGCAAGAGCAGAGCCGCCCTCTGCCCCAGCTTGGGCAGAGTCTGCCAAAACACCTCGTTGCAGGATTTGAATCTGCAGAGGGTAATCCCTGAGAGGGCAGGGGCTCCCCACGCCTCCTACGTGGGCAAGTTCATCATCTTCTCTTCCAGGTCCCACCAGCCTACCACCATCGCCATACCCTGGCATCTCCCCCAGCCACAGTGACCTTTGAAAACCCAAATCCAGCCGCATCTGCCCTTCCTAAGGCCCTTTTGAGGCTTCCCACTGATCTCGGGGTCAAGGCCAAACACCTAAACTGCTAAACGTGTGTGGCCTGGCATCCACTCCCTGTCTCCACGGGAGCCACCCTGGCCCCTCCCAGTCCCTCCCCCTGCAGGGCTGCTCCCCACCAGGCCTTCAAGTCCCTGTTCCCCTCTTCCCGAGTTTGCCCTGCTCGTCCTTCAGGCTCACCCACTTCCTCAGGGAAGCCCTCACCGACCGCGGCGTGAGTAAAACCTCCGTGATGGACTCGCCTGGCACTGTTTAACTGTTGCCCTTGTCCCTGTTGTATCTCAGCAATTGACGGTGTGAGACTTTGACTAACGTTTGTCTCTGCAACTAGACTTTACCCCCAAAAGGGCAGGGACGTTTCTGTTAACCATTGTATCCCAGGGCCCCACACACAGCACACGTCAGAAAATATTTGTGGCACGTTTTTGAGTGAATGAGCGAGTAGCACTGCCCTGTGTGCAGGTCCATGAGCACATCTCCTAGAGCGTCTCTCTCAAACCAGAGTTCCAAACTGGACTTGCTGGCAGAACTGGCTGTCACTGGGGAGAGGCTGTGGGGGCAGGTCGAGAGCTGCCCTGGGGCGCTTAGGTCCACGCGCTAAGTGTGTCCAAAGGGCAGGAACAGAGGGAACTGGCCAAAGACCAGCACTGTTGTGTTCACTTTCAGTGGCCTGGCTCTGCTCACCCCAGTGGTGCCTTCCCTGCCTCACTATCTTCCCTGTGTTCTGCCTTGAAGGACCTGAGCCACTAACAGGATCTATTTCATTGGGTTCTTGGGAGGATTAAATGAGATAATACCAGAAAAGTACACAGAAGAGTACCCAAAGCATTAAATAAATATCACTTTTTTAATTATTATTATTGATAATAATACACACACAACATAAACCATTTCTACGAAGTTTGTAAAATGTCACTGTGCCAGTGTTGCTTTATTTTTCTCTTTAGTGAATGCAAATAAAAGGCAAGTTAAAGAACAAAGTAAAGCAACCAAGGTGGATGGATGTTAAAATGGCATTTGTGCACCCTTCCTCTTGTTCACAAGCTGTATCGATTGGGGGGTAGAGTCCAGAAGAGGAATTCATGGATCGGAGAAAAGGTTACTGGGAGAAACATGAGTTACTTACTAAAAGTTTTCAGGAAAAACTATACAAGTTAGCCAGCCCTTGAAGTGAACCAATACAGGGAGAGAAAGAGGTAGAACCACTGCAGATGGCTTACATTCTTGACAAGAACTCAGTGAGTTACCCAGTCCCGCCCCCCATGGGGCTCCATGATACTAAGTAAAGAGTGTCCAAGGCAGAGAGGCCCAGATTCTGCCTCAGGGAAGAGCTTGGGGAGCATTTGGGGAGGGTTTTGTGCTCAGGGGGTTCAGGGCTGAGGTCTGAGCTGAACACATTAATGGCTCTCTAAGGGTATTTAAATGTAAACTAATTAAAATTAAATAAAATGTAAAATTCAGTTCCTGCGTTGCACCAGCCACATTTCAAAAGCTCAATAGTCACATGTGGCTGGTGGCTACCATACTGGACAGCACAGCTGTAGAAATTTCCATCATTGCAGAAAGCTCTGTGGACAGCACCAGTCTAGAAAGCTATTCCACACAGACTGTGATAAATTATTAACATGATGATGTCAAAGAATTTGGAAGCTATGCTCAGTGAGTCTCCCCTGTGTCAGGCCCACACTGTCCCATCTGAGCCTGCAGCGACCCCTGAGTAGACTTCAAAGTCCATTGCATAGAACATCTGGAAAGTACTGAAAATTTTTTTCACAGAATATATCATCCTTGATCTCATCTTCTAAAAATATCTACTAATTGAATTTTGGAGTTTTTCTTCCTTTTCTGGGGGGTGGGGGTTGGGGGGAAGGGTATACATTCTTCCTCCATGCATTCCTCTCTCTCTGTGCTTAAATTAATTTTTGTACCAGCTAAAACCAAGCCCTCTCCCCTTCTCCCCACCACTCCTGCCTTCCCCTTCTCTCTCTGCCTCCCCCAACAGCTGGACACACTCCACCACCATCTGTTCCTCTCTTCTCCCTTTGCCCTTTATTTCTCTAGATGTTTCCATCAGATCACTGAAACCATAGGCAGGGCAGCTTCCTCTGGCCTCACGATGTTCTGATTTAACTCTTGGTAGAATGTTTATTCACTTCCTGTGCTCACCTCCACACACTGGGCTGGGGCTGGGGGCTGCACCCCCACCACCAACACCCTTGCTTGTAGGACTATCAAAGCTAGATGACCTTGAACATCAGAGCCAGAGGCAGAGATGCTAATCTGGGCTGTTTTCTCCTGTCTTTCCCCAATGACTTTTGTGTGTATTTGACTTTCACAATTTATTCTATCTTCCACAGTAACTATTTGGGAGGCACAGAGCTCAGTGAATTTGCTCTAATATCTCCTTCTTCTTGTCCCAGTTTCTTCATCTGCAAAGAGATCTCCATCATTCCCTTTCTTCATGAATATTAGGAAATAAAATTTGTAGCTCATACATCCAAATCCTTCCTCATACCCTCACAGTAAGGTCCCCGACTCCTTAGCAGGTCACTCAAGGTCTTGACCATCTCGTCCTGACAACGTCCGTACATACCAGCTCCAACACCTCCTGTCATCAGCACTAAGCACCTGCGTCTTCTGTGTAGTCGTGTCTCTGTATGCAGGCTGGGATGCTCCAGTCTTGGATTATCCCTTCCTTCTGCTCGGCAGGCCTTTCTTCAGTTAACATGCTCTTTATCTTCCCGAGGCCTGATTAAAATTGGCCTCTCCCCCTATCCAAGGGCTGTCCGGAAAGTATCCAGCCATTGTTAATATAATGAGAACAGGTCCATGGCTGGATACTTTCCGGACAGCCCTGGGATTCCTTATAGCTCTTCTCAGTATAATAAATCTTGTAAATCTCTCATCACTGCCCTCCAGGTGATCTAATTGATCATCCGCTCCTCTGTCTCTTCCGTCAAGCTGTGATCCCTTTGAGGAAAGGAACCACACCATCCATATTTATATCCCAGTGCTCAATATGGCGCTTTGCACATATTAGTATTCAGTGTTTCTGGAATTAAAGCCCAGTATCTACCAAATTCATAAATTAAAACTCTTTTAAAAATTCAAAGTAGGAAATAAATACTGTTTATGTTAGCTCTTATTAATAAATCAGCCAAAAATAATGTTTAAAATGGAGTTTATTCCTTATTTCAATCCCAAAGCAGCTCAATAAATTTTATATGATCCCCATTTTACAGATGAACAAAGAGAGGCACAGAGAAATTAAGTAACTTGAGCAAAGCCACACAGTGAGAGGAGTCCTTCTAACCTCAAGGGTCATACTTTTCCTACTGTGTTAAAGGTCCTGATAGTCCACCGAACAAATGATTCACAAGAAGTGAATCAGGGTTGGTTAATTGGAGAGAAAAGGGTCAGAGCAGGAATAAGGGTGGCAGCTCCCCACAAGCACCTGCATGGAAGGGGCCCAAGCGTCACGGTGTCCAGGGCGCTGTCTTGAAGGGTGGTCTGGCGTGGAGCAGGTCAGGAGAGAGAAGTCTGATTTCCACACTGGAGCTGCTTTGGAAAAGCCTTCTCCCTGTGGCCTCATGGGATCCTCCAAGGAAAGATCCCAATCATTTAATTATGACTCCCTATGTGGAAATCTCAGAAATAAAGTTCAAAGGGCTTCTCTTTTATCGCCAATCTTCTCTCGTTTTTGCGACGGAGGCACACAGCCCGTACCGGTGCATGGTCATTAGTCTGGTCTGCCATAAATTCTGATCGGGCAAAAGTCTGAAAGCAGCTATATTTGTTAAATTTTATTATGATTAAATGAAGCAACATGCTTTATTATCGACTAAAGCATATATTAAGGCACTATTAAAACAATAAAAAAGTATGGATTCAAAGTAAAGCTCTATTTCTTTTGTACACAAGCTAGAAAACTTACTACCCAAACATGTTTTCTGTTATTTTTAATTTGTTTATTTCATTCTTATTATGAAATATTTTAGGCACATGGAAAATATAATGAATAATATAGTCAACGCTCAGCTTAATGAAATTATGTATTTGCTTCCTAAGCCATAAAATAATACAGAGATTGATCTCCATTTCCACAGCATAAACAAATAGAAACATTTATGCAGATGGGACAGAGGAAAAATATAATCTGAGCAAAAGAACAAAACACAAGTCTGTCCTGCTAATGGGAGGAGAGAAGTATGGACATTTAAACACATTTTCCTCCCTCCATGGTTCATCCAAAACCCATTATGAACATTTACTCATGCCAAAAATAATTAATTTTTTTGTTGTCTATTCATCTCTGAGACAGTCCTAATTCATGATTCGAATTGCCCCTTGAACTCTTAAGTAGGTATGGAATATGTAAATTAGCATTCAGTCCTCTGAACCTTCCAACCATCTCCTCTTCTAATCCGAACTTTCTTCTTGCTGAATGAAGATTGGCAGCCCACAGCTCTGGTTTCAGGATTTCAAGTGAAGTTTCACTGAGAGACTTGTACAATGGCACGGGGTTCATTGTGGGAAAGGCTGGCTGACCACCCAGGCAGGACCCCAGGGCTGGCTCTCTCTGCCTTACCAACCCCCTTGATATTGTCAACACATTGAACATGAGTTCATCCCTCATGTGAGACACCCCCGATCAGGTTTACAAGGTTGCCGGATAAACCAAACTGCCAGTTGATTAACTTACCAAGAGAAATATGTCACATGGCCCGTAACACTCACATCAATGTGATACACACATTTTCAGAAACCAGCACACAATCAAAAGGTTTCTTAGTGAACATGGGAGAGTTAGGACCAAAGTTTCTAATGGTCAAGACCATCCATCCCATTAGTAGGAAGAGATTTGTTAATGAGAACATGATGTTTAAAGGCCAATGGCCAAACTCCGTGTCCTGGGGACAGCGCTTCACCATTTCAATCGATAGCACTCTGCTCTGGGCTTCCTGCCCGCCCGGCCTCCCTGGGACAGACATGCTGCCTTTATGTGTGTAAAAGTATTTAGCTGGATCACAGTGATGTCTTGCTAGCTGGGAGTCATTCCTGCTACTTCACATGACCTTGTACATCTACACTCCGTTCCATTAACTGCTGATCTTTAAATTTAACCCTTAGAGAACAATGTTATTTCCTTTATTTCAAAGACCTTAGGAAGGAACCTCACTGTAGCTATAAGAAGAGATATATCCTTTGACTCATTAGCTTTATAGAAGTTGACGTCACTTCTGTGATTCGAAGCCAGATGCCCCCATTTCCATGTAAAACACACTCTGGGGTTAGAAATCAGCCCCCTAAATGCTTGTTGTACCACATCACCAAGTAAGTGGCTGGTGCTTCCCTTCCTACAGGCCTGCAGGTGCCATCACTTTATAGGATTGAATCCCGGGGTGGGAAATAGAACTTTCCTGCTGACGTGTGAGGCTTCAAGGCCCAGCCAGCCTCTCCCATTACAACCTTCTGTTAGAGGAGCCATTTTAGAAAATATAGCCAAGAAGTTAAAAAAAAAGTCAGCTTATAAACAGCAATACTATCTTTTTCATTTCCATTAGTCCATGAATGTGGGAGAAAAGCTTGGCTAAGTACAAGAGGAATACAAGAAAGAAAAGAATTTAGAAAGATGAGTTGAAATGTTACCTTAGAAGTTACTCAAACGCAGAGTGATCACATCTAGGGTGTTGGATCAAAAGTGCTCAGAACAGTATCTGGGCCTCCCCAAGCACACGACACACACTTACAAATGGAAAAAGAAGGCGAAAATGTAGATTTGTGCTTGAATTGGCAGCTTCTCCTCAGGGTGATTTTCCAAAAACTACTGCACATCTCAGGCAATCCAGCTAATTGTCCCTGCTACCTGATTCGAATCCTAGACACCCTTCTTCCTTGTTCCCTGCCATAAGCCCAGGAAACACTGTTGCAGTAGTAGTTTCAAGTTGCATAAATGTAGCCCCTCCAACTTTTTTCTCCTCACAGATTGCCCAGAACATACAGTTTTTGAGTAGGATGTCCTAGAAAACCTTGCCAATAATAAACCTTAAACATATATGTTCTTCTTCAAGAGCACATAAAGTGCCCCTGTATATTCTAACTCATTAACAGATTTCTTTGTGGTATGCAAATAGGGAGCTGGTAAGCCTCGTCATCTTGTTACTGCATTTACAAAAAACCACACGTGTTCCATTAAATGCATTCAGACAAGTGCTGACATCAACAGATGTTTCATTTGTTAGATACATTTGAGCTACCATGTGTATACATGACAGTAGCTGTTGTAATTTGAGTAATGATTTGTGTGAATGATGTAGCTATTGTCATTTAGGATAAAATTTGTCTAAATCATGTGGCTGTTGTCATTTGATCTCTACCTTGTGTGACTTTTGTAGCTATTACATTTGGACTCCCAAGGCAGGGGTCCCCAACCTATGGTGAGTTGTACAATTATTTCATTACATGTTACAATGTAATAACAATAGGAATAAAGTGCACACTAAATGTAATGCGCTTGAATCATCCCCAGACCATCCCCACCTCCCCAGTCCGTGGAAAAATTGTCTTCCATGAAAACGGTCCTTGATGCCAAAAAGGTTGGGAAATCCTAAGGGATTTCTGGTGGAAGAGTGGGGAGCCACGGTGGGGATATGGCTGGGGGTATATATAAAACAAAACTAATCGCAGGTTGAAAATTGCTGAAGCTCTAAAACCTCTATGAATGGTATGTAGAGGTGTGTTTTGTACTGTTCTGTCTGCTTTTGAGTATGTTTTAAATTGTCCATAATAAAAAGTTTTTTGTTTTTGTATTTCAATGCACTGTGGCCAATAATCAGGATTTACCCCAGGAAGACGGAGAGAACATATCTCAGGGAGATTTCTTTGTGAAACACTGTAGGGTGTGCTATGTAGACTTCTGTCTTCTATTTGTCAAAAATGGAAATTTCTTACAGTGCTTTTATCTGAAGGGAGTTTGGTTTGAGGACTAGGACCTGGGGACAGCTGACATAGGGGTTCATGTGAATACCCCTCTGCATTTGAGATCAGAGGCAAAGAATCCATGCAACACAATAAAAGGTTTGTAAACATATCAGAACCAGGGAAAATGTATATGTAGTGGGGAGATTAAGACGGGGAGAGATACATACTGGTACTTTAGGGCAACTTTTATTATTATGAAACAGCCACTGACACCTGAACCAAGACACTGTTTCTGTGGTTAACTGCCTAGGGACTGGCGCCTCTGCCTTGTGCATGGCCTACTTCTCAACACCACTGACCTCTGGGCCTTAACCTTTGTGAACATGATATAACTGTGTTTCTGTGCAAACAAACAATACCTGGAAAAGCCACTTTGTGTCTGCTTTAATTTCAGGACAGGATTCCATGGCTCTGCAATTTGCATGACATTTTACTAAGGTAAGAGACCATCAGGCCTTGGCATAAGTCAGCGAGTGAAGAGAACCCATCAGAAAGTACAGAGAAACAAAAAATACACTCTCGAAATCACAACTAACTGATGATAAAGGATCCCATAAATCGAATTCACTTCTGTCAAGTAATGAACAATGACTCCAGCCAGCCACAGGCAGCATGTAGTTTAGCCGGACTCTGGAGACAAACCTTCTAGACGGCTCCATCATTAGTAGCTAGGAATTTTGATGAGCCACTTGGTTCCCGTAACCTGTTTCTTCATCAGTAAAAATGTAGTTTCTACTTACAGATTGTTGTGAGGAATAACTGAGATGGTGTGTGGGTAACACTTAGAACGTATCTAACACATAGTAGGTGCTCAATGTTCACTGATGCCACCTCTGTTATTGCCTGTCTTAGTCACCAGTTTTTCTTCCCCTTGCTTCAAGCTGTGGCCTGCAAGGAACACCTGAGGCCGTTTATGAGTCAGCAGATAATTAGCCACCAAGACTGGAGTCCCACATGGCCCAGCACTGTGGCAGGCCTCTGAGCAGACATGGTCCCCTACGTTACCGGCCTGCCCCCACTGGTTGGGACACGAAGGAGGATGAGGAAAAGCCAGGGGGTTGGGAATGGGTTACAAATCTTGCTTCCTAAGATGATGTCATATTTTAACAGCCTAAAACCATCTGGGCCCTATGAAGTTAGCATATACTTAGGACTACAAATTCCGTTTGCCTTTTGCACACCCCATTGACATGGCTGGCAGCCCCACCATGTTGGCTTAGGGCTTTGACTTAAGGGGTTCAGGGTTTGAGAACTCCTGCCCACCGGGTCCCCAACATAAACAGACTCACTGACCTGAGATGGAAGCAGGCAGCAGTGAGGACCCTACAGAGCACACGGATCAGACCTCCAGGCCCAGAACAAACACGCTCTTGCCACGGTCCTCAGGAGGAGCCGGAGCTCAGTACGGAAGTTTGTTTCTGAGGAAACACTCCAGCACAGGGTCTCCCGTCCAACCTGGCCCTGAGATCAGAGGGAGGCCCCTCACGTCAGCCCCCCAAGTCTTTACCGTGGCCCGCTCCGACCAGCGTTGTTAGGAGGGGATCTGTTTCCTCCTGTCCTTGCCCACAATGACTGTCGTCAAGCTCTGAAATGTTTATCAGTGTGATGCGTGAGAAATGATCATTTAATTGCATTCCCATGGTGCCCAGTGGGGCTGAGCACCTTTTCCTATGTTTATTGCCCATTTGGATGTCATGTCCTGTCGGTTGTCCATTGCTGTCCTTTGTCCACTTTTTGGTTATATTGTTTGTCTTTTTTCTGAGTCATTTGAAAGAGCAGAACTGCTTTTTTGTTAACTTCTTCCCTGTGTAAACTAGAATTTTATTTTCATGATGACTTTTTTCTTCTTTCTACAGTTAAGTCTGTTTCTGCCCAACTTGACTATAAACTTCCTGTGAGTGGATATATTATTGTTGCTTTTTTAGTATTTTTATGTTTGCTAATACCATTTATTGGCTGCAAAAACGGGGGCTTCAGAACTCTTATTTCCGAAGAGAACTTTCTACTAGATACCCAAGCCAGTGTTTGCACCCCACCTCTTGACTGGGGTGGAGCCAAGAGGTCCCATCCTTGCCCAGGATGACTGCTCCCCGACTCGGCAGCTGGGTGGAAGCCGGGGCTCACTTGCTGGTGCTGTGTCCTGCTGCCTCTGTTTCTGGCTCAGTTTTTTCCTTAGTGCGTCCCTGGAAACTTCTCACATCCTGCTCACCTTGCCCTCACAGACACTGATGCTCCCTCCTCTCCTGCTGTCTCCAGCTCTGAACTGGCAGCTCCCCCAAAACGTTCCCGCCACATCGTAGAGTAGGAGCCGCAGGAGTTACTTGTAGAACTCAAATCACTGAACAACCTGCAGAGGACCGAGCCAAGCTGTTTGCAAGGCGCAGGTGCGTGCTGGCGGCCCCGTGTGCACACACTGAGGCTCGGCCACGTCCCGCACCCACGGGAGCAGAAGCAACACTTACTGAGCACTTCTGTATACCAGGCATCTGGACCGAGTTTTTCCGTACGACAGCTCTACGGGCAGGTACCCTGAGTAGCCCTGCTTACCAGACGATAAACTGGATGTCCAGGGAGGGGAACACCTTTGCCCGAGATTGCTCAGTTCGCAAGTGGAAGATCTTTAACTCACAGCCAGGACTGCCTGATGCTTAACCAGCATCTTCTAACAGCTGCCACTGGCAGAGAAGTAGGGCTGTAGTCCTCCCCCTCGAATCGATACCAGTTATTTTAAATATCTTCGTTCTTTAGCCTCCCTTTTTTTTTCCTTTTTAAACAGAGATGTAACCTCAGGACAGTGTGTGGTTCTAGCCTGTTCGGCCCTGAAGAAAATGTACAGAGACATCTTAATACGAGGAAAAGATGGTGCAGCTCTGAAGAGTGAGGAGTTGGGAAAGGAAGAGAAGCCAGGTGACGTGCAGCTCTTCGTGGTCCATCTAAGCGGGTCGTTTGAGGTCATCTCTGGACGCTTACTCCAAAGAAAAGGACATTTTATGCCCCCTGAGTTACTGCAGTCCCAGTTTGAGACTCTAGAGCCACCAGCAGCTCCAGAAAACTTTATCCAAGTAAGTGTGGACAAAAATCTTCCAGAGATAATTGCTACAATTATGGAAACTCTAAAAATGAAATGAGAATTGCTTTGTAGCAATGATCCGGACAGAATTAGGCATAAATCTCTATCCCATCCCAAACATTGTTCCAGTCTCCTGGCCCTTGCTGTATTCTAAATTCTTAGGGTGAACAAACCACAGTGTGTCAAGACAGACTTTTTTGGATGCATTTTTAGGAATCACGTGCTGGCACATCCAGAGAAGAGGAGAGGGAACTTCAAAAGTCAAGTTTAAATTGAAGTTTAAATTCATCTGTGACCCAATCAAATGATCAGAGGAAATTCTGTAGTCAATGACGGAAATCATGTTTAGAATATTCTTGCTCATGCCTGTATCTGTACAAATAAATGAAACTTGGCGATCCTTGGCATCCCCTGGAAATTGGTCTCAGGAGCAGAAACTTGTACAAAACCAGCCTCCCACCAGAAGTCTCTTCACACTGTGCACCTCCTAATCCTCCCTCTGTCCTGGAGCTGTGGTTCCGAGCAATGGCTCTTACGCTAAGGTCCCAAAAGGTAGTAATGGGAGAACAAGCAAACTGTCCAGTTCCTCAAACAGCCCAATGCAAATATATTCACCAGCGGCAATACCAAGTTTCCTGCCTTTTGGCTAAAATTATGTCAACTCAAAGTGGGAACTCTGTCTCTGCTGAGCACTTGTGAGATAGATAAAATTTAAATATAGAAAAGTTAAAAATTCCTACGTGAAAGGTAGTGTTTGGTCAACAAAATTTGATATGATAATCAAAGGACTCATTTTGGTAGAATAAAGATTGAAAACAATTATTTTCGAGTAAAAAATGTTTTCCAAGTAGGGGAGCTATCAAAATAGGTCATTTTAGAAGGTCCTACTCCGAATTGTCCATGAATTTGCTGAGATCAGTGCCGCAGAGAGACCCCAGCGGTCAGCCCGAAGCGGCAGCGCTGCTGAGAACACACAGGTGTGGGATTTCAGGTTCAGTGATCTCAGGCACAGACCGGAAAGGCTGCCCCCTACCTTTCTCTGTCACTCTGCCGAGAGCGGCGGTTTTGTGCAAACGTCTTCAGTTCTCTCCAGCACCGGCCAAGCGAGAGCAGCGGCAGGCTCCGTCCCCAGGCAGACACCCGGTCTCTCCACAACCGAATCACTTCATGTTGTTGTTTCTACCTTTCCTTCTATTTAAGGCAAGTGTCCATTTTCCATTAGAAGTAGTCACATAACAGTTTCTGTAAAACTAAATATATTTAAATAAAATGGGTCATTTCAAGGTAAATAGATAAAAAGTACATGATTCGCGGATATACAAAACTGCAAAGGTGGAACTCGAGCAAATGCAGTGTGGACTTGCTGAGCCAGTCCAGCCCGCATTTTACAGAGGCCCCTGGGGTCCAGGAAGACCCCTGTGAGGCTGGGCTCCTGCCCGCCTGCCCTCCCGCGGAAAAGCCGTCAGTGACGGGCGCTGGGCAGGTGAAGAAAGAGCAGCAACTCTGCTGCGGCCAAGACCTGGAACGAAACCCTCCGATGGGCGGGAGCGCGCCAGTGGCACGGCAGCAGCTGGGCTGGGCGATGAGGCAGGGAGGTCAGAGGTGCTGGGCAGCTCGCCAGGGCACCCGCCGTGCAGGCCGAAATCTGGCCAATGTGGGCCTGGTTTGAGCCCTTCCCCACACTGGGCTCCAGGAAGACACTTTATCCCTCTGTCCCAACCAGGGCCACCTGCAGGCTCACCGCTTAGCTCTGGCCAGAGAGTGAGTTTTAGGACCCCTTACCTGTGTTTCCTTTAATAAGGGCATGCCCTCTTTGACTCGGGAACTGCAAACGGAGTATGTGCTAGTGGGCGGATGGCCTTTGCCTAAGAAAATGTGGAACCTGGGATTTTCCTGTCTGCCAAGCTGTGTGGAGTACCTCCTGCCTGGCTTCGGTGTACATCAACCCTCGTATTCAAGGCTCAAGCCCTTGAAGGTGTCCAATGAACGTACTCCATCTGGGTGAGAGTCCAGCCGACGTAGGAATCAGTAACCCGTTTGCACTAGTGAGTCTGGACCGTGAACTGCGATGGGCGCCCTGCAGGGTCAGAGGGCGTGGGTCAGAGGGCGTGGAGCACAAAGCCCTGGCCTCAAATGGCTCCCATCGGGGTGAAAGATGAGGCTTCTCGCATTCTCTGGCACAGGCTACAGCCCTCCTAAGACAGAAAGGATATGACAAGGCCTAGAAAATGCGGGTTTAGACCTGCTGAAAGACACGCATCCCAGGCGATTGTGCCCCTTCCCCCTGCTCCCCTCCCATGTGGGTGCCAAGCACATTCCTTGACAAATGCCTGGAACCCGAGCACTGCAGCTGCTCCACAGCTGGACTGCCATGCTGGGCCTCAGCCTTCTGCTGGGACAACAGGAAAAGGAAAAACAGAGGAAGGTGGTTTCTCAACCTCAACCACGTGTTGGAATCACCTGAGGCACTTAAAACAGAGGCCCTGCTGCACCTCCGAGCCTACTGAAGCGGCGTGTGTAGTGAGGGGCCCAGACGTCAGGCCTAAAATCTCCAGAGCTGACTTATGTGCAGCCAGGGGCAGGGAGCCCAGGGCGCGGTCTGGCAAGCAGGACCCTGTTTGGATACCCGGTTTGTGCTGAGCCCACCCAGGGGGCAGCTGCAGGGAGACTTGTGACAATGATGTTCGGGGCTGGATTGGTTCTGACCGAGCAAGGACCCATTGGACAACTCCCAGAGGGCCACAGATGATGTGCAACCTCTGAATCGGCACTTTGGGCGGTGAGAGGTTGGAGAGCACCCGACCTCCCACCCACCCATGTAGAAGGTCTGGCTTATTCGGCTGGGATCACAGGGGAGATGGACCAAAGAAAGGGGTGGGGTGAATTCCCTTTCTGGTTGAGGACACTGATTTACATGGCCTCGGGCATAGCGGACCACAGGGGAAGCTGCTTTCACTCAAATGGTCTGTCCAGAGGAAAAGGATAGTCTGTTTAATGCCACTGTATTAGTAATAAAGCTGGGGCCTTGGCCGGGCGCGGTGGCTCACGCCTGTAATCCTAGCTCTCTGGGAGGCCGAGGCGGGCGGATTGTTTGAGCTCAGGAGTTCGAGACCAGCCTGAGCAAGAGCGAGACCCCGTCTCTACTAAAAATAGAAAGAAATTAATCGGACAACTAAAAATATATAGAAAAAATTAGCCAGCATGGTGGCGCATGCCTGTAGTCCCAGCTACTCGGGAGGCTGAGGCAGGAGGATCGCTTGAGCCCAGGAGTTTGAGGTTGCTGTGAGCTAGGATGACGCCACGGCACTCTAGCCCAGGCAACACAGTGAGACTCTGTCTCAAAAAAAAAAAAAAAAAAAAAAAAAAGCTGGGGCCTTCCCCTCTCAAATGTTCCTGTTGGTTTAGCAGGGGAAGAGGTCAGTGAGGCCTTCAAGTGAGGTGGATGCAGAGAGACGAGGGGAAATGGTGGGGAGCCGACAGTCAAGGCTCCCAGCTGATGAATAGACAAAATGTGGCACGTGCTTACAGCGGAATACTATTCAGCCATCAAAGTGCCGACATAGGCTACAACATGGTGAACCTTGAAAACACGCCGAGTGAAAGAAGCCAGACCCCAAGGCCACACACTGTGCAATTTCATTTGAAAGGTCCACCGGCAAATCCTGAGACAGGAAGTAGATGAGAGGGTTGCCAGGGGATGGGGGAAGGTGGGAATTGGGACTGGCTGCTCATAGGTACACAGTTCCTTTTTGGGGTGATGGAAATGTTCTGGAATTACTAACGGTGATGTTTGCACAGCACAGTGAAATATACTAATCAATGAAATATTCTTTAAAATGATGAATTTTATGGTATGGAAATCATCACAATGAAAAAAGTCAATCCAGCAAATGCACCACGGTGCGTGAGGAGGGACATAACCCAGAGCGGGCGCCTCCCCACCACCCCGCGTGGGAAAGTCTCCGTGAGGGAGGCAGCAGGCCTGAATCCAGGTCCCGCGTACCGCTTACACCTAAGAACGATTCGTGTGTGTAAAGATGAATACTCTCTAACAACACGGCCCCTGAGAGCAAGCCGGCCACTTCGTCTCCATTCAACCAGCCCAGCACTGATCTGTCCCCATGCTGGAGGGCGTAAGGCTGTGTGGGATTTATCGAGATGTGGCCTGTGTTCGATGGTCGTTCCGGGTTTGAGGACACGTTTGCCTGTGATTTGTATTTTATCAGCTGCTTTAGAAGATAGCAAAGATGCAGTTTAGCCCCTTGGAGGCTGTAATGGTAAGTTGGAGGCAGAACCTGACACCATGTGTGGTGGAAATGAAACCTCCCGCATTGGCTCATTCTGTGGCCCATTCCGTGGCTCATTCCGTGGCCCCCGTGGGCGCTGTGCTGGCTTGAGGCTGGAGAAAGAGAATGAAGACAGAAGCTTGTCCTCCATGAGTGGGGCTCTGCACAGGCAAACAGATGGCTCCAAGACAGTGAGACAAGTAGGCAAAGACAACATAGTCTCTTAGTCCAGCCTAGGGACATCTGGAAAACTTCAGCATCTCCGCGTTACAGGTCAACTGCTCCCAGCCCTCCAGAGGCGAACAGAGCCAGTGGTTCTCAGTGAGGAAGGCACTTCCTCCAAGGGCAGTTTTAGAAATTTATAGGGATGTTTTTAGTGGTCACGACGAAGGATGGCAATGAATGGGGTGCAGGTGTGGGTACTAGCATTCAGTGGGCAAAGGCCAAGGATGCTAGACTTCATGCAATACGTGGCAGTTCTTCAGAAAAAAGAACTGGTTTTCAAGCTGGGCAACGTGATGCGTGCCTGTAGTCCCAGCTACAGAGGAGGATTGCCTGAGACCGGGAGTTTAAGGCCAGCCTAGGAAACATAGTGAGACCCCATCTATTAAAAAAGTAAAATAAAATAAAAGAAAGAAAGAAATATATTTTTTTCAAATATCTTCCTGCTGGACATTCCTGCAGGACCAAATGAAAAACCTGTTTATAATTATAGGCGTGTAGAATCCATTTTATACATAAAAATAATTTTTGCAACTTTAATATACATTGAAATTTCCAAGAATGCAATAACCTTGTAAATAAAGGGACACAATTTTATTCCATTTTAACTTTACCGAGAGTTGTTTACCATTTCAGAAAATCATGGTGTATTTGTCCCCAACACACCATACCTACATCCACTTGCGTTTTTAATTCTTTCACAGGGATCTGCTGAGGGGCACAAGCCTACAATTACTCCATTGTGTTCAGCCAGTGTCGTCGTGCCCAAGCAGTACATATTGACAAACACAGTTCATTAATAGTTACTTTCCTTTTATGTCCCCTTTAGAGTTAAGGCATCATATTTATTAATTGCTTAGGTAAGTTTTATTAGCAATTAATTTTATCGTGAGCTAGTAAAGGGGGCATTAGAAAATAGTCGTTAATAAGGAGGTGTTGAGTCTGGTGTGTTGAGAAGCACAGTGGAATTCCCAAATGCCACCCCCGGGAGGCGGAGGTGTGAGCCAGTGCTGCCCTCTGGTGGCCAGAGGTGGGGGGACACAGCAAGTACAGACGGCCCTCCAGCAGCCAAGGGTTCCAGCATGTCCCTGGGGGCAGTGGAAGGCTGCTCCCCGCCCAGCCCTGACCTCACCCCTGCATAGTGCTTCTGACCTGGGAAGAAGTGCTGGATGGTTTGCAGAGGCTCAAATGGGATGAAAATAAAATATTTCCCCAACCCTGCAAATACCATCCCCACCATCCCCACTGGCAGGACTCTCCACCACTCCCTAGTCTCTCTCTACTTACACCACTGGAGGAATTCCGTATTAAATATTTTCCTCTCCTGTCAAATGGGGATAAGATTGTGAGAAGTAAGATAATACATGCAAAATGCTGAGACCAAAACCTGATGTAAATCCTGGATCTTTTTATACTTGTCATTGGGAGCCTAAGGGAGTGTGGCTGTAGGAAAAAACTCCCTCTGCTTCTCTGGTTGTGGGGGAGCTTGCAAACCCGTTCTAACTATGTGAATCTTAAGTCTTTTGGCTCTAATCTCTCTCCCTTCTTAACCCCTGCCAGGGTCTCCTTCCACCCCTTCCCCCAGCCCTTGGTCAGTTTAAATCAGACAGGGTCTGGGATGGGCCCCTGAAGTGTGGGATGACCCAGCAACCTGCTGAGCAGCCAGCTCTGGAAACAAGACCCAGAAAAGCCTGGGCTCAAGGTAGAGCACTGCCACAGATTCACTGGGTG